AGCACTGAGCTTGACTGAGTTCAAGAAGCGTCTGGACAACACTCTCAGTCATATGCTCTGATTCACCTGGTCCTGTGTGGGGCCAGGAGTTGGACTCGATGATCCTTATGGGTCCCTTCCAACTCAGGATATTCTGTGATTCTATGAAATTGCTGCTCTGGCTGTAGTTGAGAGCGACGCAAGGCTGTTGTGAATCTCAGCCGCTAGACCCCCTGCTAGAACCGTCTGCCTGACGGGTCAGGCAGAGAGACAGTGAATGAGTGAGTGTACCTATTTTAGTGCTGGGATTAGAGCATATCTCTGAGATGCACAAGACTGATTTGGAGCTGGTGCTGGATCTCCTCTTCCTGGAGAATACCATAACTATTAGGCTTTTGCTATGTTTAAGTCAGCAAAAGAAAAAAAGCCTGCTAACCTGAGTGAGTGTTGGGCCAAGTCAGCAGGGAAGAGATGGGAGTGGACTGATTCTGTGGCTCTCACCTGAGGTCCTGGATCTGGTGCAGGCCTCTGTCATCTGCTGAAGGCTTGCTCTGGGTCACCTCCACTGCCTGCAACGACCCGTGGGCCCTCAGAAACCAGCGGGGCACCCACAGCCATCTTCAGGATGTGCTGAGTTTTTGGTGTATCTGCAGCACGTTTGTGGGATTATGTAAGATGGGCTGGAGGATGTCACATTCTCACGTCCTTCTGGTACTGGCACCCTGGGCTCGAGGGCAGTGCCGGCATTCAAGCCAGGCAGCTCCTGGTACCTGGAGGGCTAGCAGTCGCTGCGAGGTGCTTTCTGGCACTTTAATCTCAGGAGAGGGATATCACATTGGTGACACTAATGTGCTGAGTGAAAACCTAAAGCCTTGAATATGCAGCTTAACCAAACTAACCAGTTAGATTGGTTTAGCTGTATTGTCAAACACAACCTTAGGGATTTATAAGTATGTGCATGTATATATATACACGCAGATTTAACTCATTTCTTGCTTTGTCTTTCAAGAAGACCCTGTAAACATCACATATGTGATGTGTTTAGAAAAAGCATGGTGTGAGAATACAAATGAATTTGGTCAGTATTCAGACTTGCCATGTATTAAACATAGAATATGTTTATAATATAAATATGTTTAAATACATCAAGTCAATTATAAGAGTGACGTCTCTCCTGCTGTTAACAGTGATGAGGCTTGAATGCCACTGGCAGCTTAAAAGCCAGATGCTCTGGGATGATGCACAGCAGGTAGGGTTTCTACAGCTGATTGTGGAATGAATTCATTATAGTCCTTTTGTAGATCAAGCAATTCCAGTCTGCACAAGTTCAGATAGGAAAAATAACGCCCAGTTCACATCCATGGGAGCACCTTTCCCTTGCCTTGATGTTCAGACATTTTGGGGATAATCAGACAAGCCGCTGTTGATGAGTCACTTTCTCCATCTCCTTTCCTGATTTATGTATTGAGGCCAAAGCTGCTGTTACATTTAGACTTCAGATTTGCTTCACCCCTGCAGCATGGCTCTTGCGCATTACTGTTTTATTTATACTCTAAGATTTGTACAGATGTGCTGGCACAGATGGGAATGTTAATGTTTCCCAAAATGCTCAGTTCAGGCCAGTATTTAAAATAATGATGTCATCCTATAAATACTAACTGTAGTTTCAAATGTATAGGTATGCTGAAGTAGGTTATGTAGACTACCTGATTTCTGGTATTTCCTAACTTTTATAATGTTGATAATACTCTAGTAATGTAGTCTGAGCAGAGGGATGATGGGTGGGATTAAATGCAGAGGAGTATGTTTTGGTAGGAAGCACGGATTAATGAACCTTTGAATAGATTTTTTTTTTTTTTAACAAAGTCCTTGTAAAGCCAATTCTAAAAGTGCTTTTCACTGTCTCTGAATCTGAGCCTATGTTTTTCTTTGCTTTTGCATGCTCAGAACCATAAAATTCTAGAAGTGAACTCTGTGGTTGTCTTTTTAGCTGCATTCATTGCCCATGTAAATTTGAGATTTGGGATATGTGTCAACTTTACTCATTCAAAGTGACAAGCAGATCTCTAAGATTGTGCTTGACAGTTTAGCTTAAGCAGGATTACCTAAATCCTGTGCAGTTCTGCTCTTCCTGCGTTGCTGTCTTGATTGTTAAACACTTCATCTGATCCCTGCCTCTTCCAGATCCAAAGACCTTCTGCCCCAGAGCAAGTGAGCGCTAGGGAAATGTATTTTTGCTTTGAAGTATAGGCTAATTTGTTTTGTGGGAAACCTTGTTCATCCTGTCTCATGAAATTAAAGCCATCCTGGATGTGGTTGATCATTCTTGGTGCGGTGCCAGCTTGCTGTTGTGGTTGGAGTGAACAACAGTGATGGCAAGTCCATAGGGCTGAGTTAGTCTTGTGTGACTAGGGTAACTTTAAAAAAAAAAAAAAAAAGCTGTAGCAGAGTCTGCTTTCTTCTTTCTGTTTTGTTTTGGCTTCTTTATCTTGTTGTCCCTCTCCATGGTTGGACCCATTGTCCTAAAGCAACTAAGTTGTGTTGCAGAGTCACCGGGTGAAGCTGGTCAGATCCATGCTGGGGAAGGAGGGTCTTTGCAGCGAGACGCAGCAGTGGTCTTAGAGAGCAGGGTTTTCTTAGCTTATTCAAGTAATAAATAATAACTTACAGATATAAATAGTATTTGTAATTATTTCCCAGTGTTTGCATCAAGACTGGAGTTTTTATTCAGAGCTGTACCTGCCCAAGGAACCTTGTCCTTTCCCAGGCCCGTGAAACACAACTACTGAAACGTTCTGCTCTATGGAGCGCCCTTATGCTTTCAGCCCAGTCTTATTTCCATCCTTCTTAAATCCTGTTTTACTTTTGTTCCTGGAGCAAGTTAGTCTCGCACCACTTCTTCTAGGCAAAGTTAATACCTCCGAACTTTCAGGAGCTGTTTATTCCTGTGCTTGCTGGCTTCATGTTCACCCTTTTGTGCTGGTGCCTCTCGCTAAATCTGGCTTTGTTTCAAACTCTGCTGTGCTGAAACCAGCCCAATGACTTGAGTTGATCCATCCATTTTGAAAAACAAGGATTGTGCAGAACATCTCTGTTCGAAGAATGGTACTGAAGCGTGTGAAATGTCAGCGGGATGTTGTGGTCATATTAGTACAGTGCAAGAGGTTGTAGAGAAACCTCTTGAGGATAAAAGCCATCGGAAACGTAGGTGCATTTTTGTTCTTTGCTGTTCATGCGTTTGCAGCAAAACCTGCATGTGCCTCGCTGTTACTGACTTTAATGAAATCAATTTGAGCAGAAGGCATTGTCCTGCAGTGGATAATTTTTAATAGAATTAAAATGCCTTTTACCCGCTCTGCTGGCAGCATTCTAAATTTGAGCTATAAGTGGATTTTTCTTTTTTTAAGCTGTTGTGCCAGATATTCTCCTTTTACCTCGTGTTACTAGTAATTCAAGTAAAGAATCTCTGGAAATTTAAAGATTCGAATATTTTCATGGTGTGAATGTGGTTGTTCCCCGATGGTATTGCTGAATTCAGCTTCTGTCCTTGACATACAGGAGTTTGATAAAGCATACATTTAAAAAAAAAAAAAAAATTCCACAGGAGTTCTCCAGGAGATACTGCTTTGGTTTTGTTTTATTTCTTGTATTGGTTGATCCATATCAGCACTAAGGAAATTATATGCCATTAGAAATATGTACAATGATAAAACTGAAGTCATATTTCAAACTAAAAAAAAAAATTCAAAAAATTGAGCTTTGATCATATTGGAAATGGAAACATTTGATTATTAAGTTAATATTTAATATAATTGTTTACATGAACTTCCAACTTTTGATATTTCAACTTTTCGATTTAGCTTCACTAGTTTATCCTGTCTCCATGAGCCTGTTCTCATATGATACGTAAGTCCACTTTTAGATTTTTCAGTTTGCGAATTGCTACAAACATAATGGAATACGGGCATTGACTCCCAGTGTTCCTGAGACCCTATTGGCTTCATATGTTTGTTATGTCTACTCTGAGGTGTCTTTAGTCCTTTTTCCAAGGACATCCCTTGAACCTGGTGGCAAAAGTCATAAGGTCTTTTTGTTTCTTCATAATGTCAAATTAACTTCATAATGTCAAATTAACTAAAAAATAATAATATAATACATAATGTCAATTAACTAAAAAAGTTAATGTTTCTTTTTTCAGAAGTTTCTTGAGTAGCAACAGCAACTTGCCTACAATATTAGTAAAGAGCAAAAATTAATGTAGGAAACAAAAATTTCATCTGGTAAGGCAAATTTTTATAAAAAGCTGCTTCAAAATAATATATTTGCCATTCAATAAAGCTGAAATACAACTTGAAATACAACAGAGTCCTTTAGAAATATGTCTCAACACATACCAACATTTTGAAGAGAGAAAAAAGTACAGGAGAAGACTACCCCAATAACCACCACCCCTTCATTTTTTTTATTTTTAAAAGATTGTATCATTGCTAGTTTCTGAGGAGAGCAGAGATCTCGTGAAAAATGACTGCTACAATATTTATGTTGAGGCAAAGTTACTGCTTGGCTAAATTTCAGCAGTATAGAAAATGAGAATAGGTTGGTGAGAAATGGGTTTCTTTGTGGGCTGTTTAATTGTTGTTGTTTTCCCCTGGTCTGCGCAGTCAATCATCTTTCGCTAATAAATTCTTTTGGCACCGCATTTTTTGTTATGTGTGTTCAGCAGAATTCTGCGGCTTTTATTTTATATTTCATTGTGAATCTCATTTTCTCTTGAAATGAGCCATGATTTACTGAGAGAATAAGCGCTGGGCGGTCTGTGTAAGTATTGCAATGTCAGTTTTCTCTGCTGTCACCCTGAGTTGCATCAGGGTCTACTCTTCACTGGAAGTTACCTCTCCATCAGGGCAGTGAGCACTCGGCGTTAAGAAAGCTCTCTGCCTAACCTTTGTGCCAGCCTTTGCAGGGTGGCGATGGGCTGTCTGGGTATTGCACCGCTATAACTTATTTTTGCATCTTTCTAGGACTTTAGCTTATTGCCAATGGGTGGAAAATCTTCACGAGACTCAAAAGATGGTTTCACTTTTTGGCCCCTTCAGCGACGTGCTGAAGTGGATCCTCTGCCATCTGACCAAAGGGATCGTGAAGCGGGAAATGTATGGCCATGGCATTGGCCGCTTCTCAGAGGAGGAGATGTACACGCTGATGGAGAAGGACATGCGGACTCTAGCGGGCCTACTGGGTAACGTACAATGAATTACGCGTGTTCTGTTTGTTTGCAGCTCACTGTGCGGAGGATTAAATCAACCCCTAGTGCTTCCTGGCCACCTGATCACGTACACAAATGATCTCATTTTGTCGGTGGGTAGAATCTGCACTGCTGCTGTCATTCAGTGCCACCCTCGCTCTGGCAGGGACCGTCTTTCTCTCCCTGCTGTTTGCTACCAAATTGTATCTCTAGAGGGGTAAGCGGCTTTCTTCTCTGAGCACTGGGTGTTTGTGTCTAGAGGAGCAGAATGGGGCCTGTGATTTTGGAAGAGCATTTTGCTATGTGAGTATAGGAAAATGTAGTGTTTAGTTCTGCAAGTTAAACCTCTTATTTATATTGGAGGAGAGTGTCTCATTTTTTCTGCATGGAACTCATGGCTGTTTGATAGATGGTGATGAGGCTGCCATTTGAAAACCCTTTGCAGATGTTATTTTGATGAGCTGGACTTTGTTGTATTTGGTTGGCATTAGCAGCTTTATTCAAAGCCGCTAGTAGAAGATGGGCCTAGTTGTCAAAATAGGTGGTTTTAGGCTTCTTAGTTGTCACGGGTGGATCCCGTAGGGTTAGTCTTAAAGTTGAGCTCACTTAGCAAGAACTACATGAGCCTCATTTCTGTTGTGTAGCTCAGGCTGAAATCTGCACCGGAGCTGTCTACACTGTGCTTCTTACAAGAGGTAACCGTATTGTGCTTCTGTGTAAAATTTGCATTTTGAGCAATTTGGAGCAAATTGTTGCTTCCCTTGAACTTGCATCTCTCTTGTGGAAGGAACCGAGAGAGATGGTACCTGTGTGGCTGCTTTGTTCCCTGTTAAAGAGGTGGCTGAGTGGAGGGCGGGAGGGATGCCTCGCTGCCCTGTCATCCAGAGGGAGCACATATTGCATGTGCTTTAAATAGGTTAAGTGCGGAGTGGATGGAGGGAGCAAGGTGAGGGGAGCCCAGCAGAAGGCAGAAACTGAGTGCTTGCTGAGAGAGGGAAGGAAGAGAAATGCTTCTGGGCTTCCAAGGTGTTTTGGAAAGGAAGGTGTTAGCAGAGGACCTAGATGGGGCTGTATGGAGTTTTCTGTAACTTTGTTTTCTGAAACAAACCTGCCGGGTTGCTGGATTAGGAGCAAGGTGGAAAAAAGACATGTGATGCACGGGCACAATAGGCAAGGGGGAGATTTGTTGACAGCTCCTCTTCTGTTAATGCTTTCTGATGCTGTATTTTGTTAACACAAAAAGTTACCTATTCTAGTGCTTCTTCAAAGAAAACCTGGATTTGGAGCTTAAGAGGTCCCTTTTCTTTTTGGGAGAAGGAAGGGAGGGAGCAGCTCGTTTTAGAAGAAAAGGTCTGGGCGCATCTGCAGAGCTGTGGCCAGCTCAAGGTGCCCTCAACTGTGGGACTGCTGCTGCTGTAGCTTTGAGGTTGGCACCATGTGGCTCCCTGTATGTCACAGAGAGGAATGGGCTTCAGGTGGGAGCTGGGGCAAGTTCAGCCTGTGACTTGGGAGCTCAGCAGAGCCTCCTGGTTCTTGCTAGGCAGAACGGCAGGCTGAACGGGGCGGCAGTGGATGTGTCTATGCTAAAGTCATCCCTGTCTGCCAAGAGTAGATGTAGCCTTCGAGAGAAAACTGAAACAAGTTCCTAAGTACCTGTAAAAGTTTCTTGCTTTGCTTGTTTGAAATCTACATCCGTCTGTCTCTGGAGTCTATACTAACACTCAGATTTGTAAAGTTTTGAGTTCAAAGGGATCATTAAATCATCTAGACAGACCTCTGTGAATCAAACTGCTTGGTTGCTGTCTTGAGGCCTGTTTCTCTTTTCTGGCTGAAGTGTGTCTTTCTGAAAGGCATCCAGTTTTAATTATAAGATTTCAGCAGGTGGAATTACTACTTTCATTAGTAATTGGTGGTAAACGTTAATCACCATCAAAATCTGTTCAAAATCTGACCTGTTCCAAATCAGAGTTTGTCCAATTCCAGCCTGCAGGCAGATGTTCCTCCCTGGGTGGCCTGCGTCATCTCCTTGTGAAGGTAAATACTATAATCAGTCTTACTTTTGTTTTTAGTGGGAAAAATCACTGGAAATCCTCAAGGATAAAGTGTTTTCTTCACTATATCAATTTTTTTAATTGTATGATACATATGTTATCAGCAGGAGTTTTATTTTTACTTCCAGATCATCGATGAGAATGTCTTGCCTTGTGTACTTCAAAAAGCCTTGATGGGCATCTGCTGTATTCATGTTATTTTGCTACATTGTCAGCTGAATATTGTAATTTTTTTTTTCATCTTCCCCTCTGAAACGGATGTCAGATTAATCAGCGTGCAATTACGTGAATCATTATATTTGCCCTTTTGATTATTGGTGCATTTGTCTACTTTTCTACAATTGTCTTGATTTTTCATTAACACCAGCATGCTCAGGTTTTCTCCAGCCAGCTGTTTGTGGTTGGGTCTAGTAACTGTGGCCTCCAGCTAGTATCCTGGGATGGGGACAGGAGGCGGGATGAGGACTTCCAGCCTGACTGGAGACTCCCTTGTTTCACAGAGGGAAGGAGAAGGCAGTCAGTCAGCCTGTTGACTGCACAAAAATCCTTGTGAGATTCCCTTCCGTGTATATGTGCCCATGTATTTTCCCGGAAGAGGAAACAGTTGCAATTTTGGCCGTTAATTAGAGGGCAATATTAAGAGCTTAAAAAGGATGCCTGTCATGCAGAATAGCTGTGCATACCAAACTGTAGCTGTCAGTCATCAGTCATATCTGATTAATGCTACCCATTTTTTAACAGAGACCATTCACATGGGGACAAGAATAACTTTTAAATTCCAAGAGCTGCTTCCAGAGAATGATAACTTGGCAGCTGCCAGGTCTTGTGCCACTCATTTTGACATTCCCAGTCACATCTTGGGTGCTTTTTTTTTCTTTCTTTTTCATTTCTGAGAATCATTTTTCCTTCTCCCATGTACTTAATTCCTTAACAGATTCCTCCAGATCTCTGATGGAAGTTGGAACTAATCCTCCTGTGATGGATCAGCCTGCCCCCTTAATATCATCTTGCTGTCTGTCCTGCAGTCTTGCAGGACACAAATGTAATTTCCTTGTGTTGTAGTAGTTTCCGACTGCCTGGTAGTAGTGTAAGGAAGTGGGGCGGATCTGGACATATGATCTAGCGATATATAAAAATATACATTTTGATATTTAGAAAATAAATTGAGTGAGCAGTGCCCATAAATCTGTTGGTGCCCTCTCAGTTGTCTGCCTGCCCCAGGCTTTTCAGTAAATGGGGATTTTGAGCAGAAAGTTGCAGGGCAGCAACTTCCTGAACTGGCTTTTGATAAACATTTGGTGTTTTGTGGAGGGCAGGGGTGCTGAGAGCTGAAACACAGAGGTGGGACTAACCTGAACACCAGCCTCTAACGCTAGTTGAAATGCCCTGCAGCAGCCTGTGTGGGCTGTACATGCTGCTGTGGAAGGGTGCAGGTCTCCTGCCAGCCTCATGTCTCATAGATCTGTCTCTTGCCGGGATTTCTTGACCCAGTGCTGAAGTAGCTGGTTTTTATCCTCTGCTGCATGCATTCATAAATAGTGGAGCTGTGTACTCTCAAATCCCCAGGCAGTACAAATTTGATCCAAGTCTGGTGTGACCAGGTGGTTGTATTTCTGTTGGATTAGCCAGGGGATGCAGCGAGGTGTGTGAGATTATTAGCACTATGGCAGCATCAATGTGACAGTCGCTGTGTAATCTGGCATAAAACTAGACACTGAGAGATGATACCTGGTCTGTCAGTCTTCTGGAAAAGTGTTGCATTGGAAGTTTTGGGAACAGATTGGAACTGGTAGAAGGAAATGTGCATGGAGGCTGTTTTATGCAGTGCAAGGTGACCGAAAACCATATTTACAGTTTTATGGAACCACAGCTCTATTTCCTCCTCTTCCTCTTTGTTTCCATGCACCTGAAGGTGCAGGTGTTGTGCTTGGGGAGTCACTCTGAGTGGGATGGTTCAGCCCTCACTCACTGTCTGCCTTAGTTGTAGCAAGATGGAAACAGCAGTATTACTTCCTAGCACATCATTACGGATCGAGTCTTAGACCCAGTTGTATGGTGCTAAATTCCTGGTGTTGGCATATAACTGTGGTTTTGGGACCAATTTGTGAGCTGTGTTTGAGATCGATGAATGCTAGGTGTCACATAAATACTGAAAAGACACATTTACCCAGTACATAGTTTTCAAACGATAGATTGATGCATTGTGAAAGAGCTGGGGAGACTTAACTCCATGTTAAAATTATATCTGGCAGGCTAGAGGAGGTTATTGTCACTGGTTATTCCTGAGCACTGCTTCTCCACGCTACAGTGCAGGGACATGACAGCATTTGTTGTACCGTACTCTGGAATTTGATGCATTTTACTGCTGGACAGTTTTTCTAAACTCACTCAATAACCCTAACATTTAATAATGTGCTGAATTACAGGCAGCTTATATTGGACAGGGAGGAATGTCCTGGGGAGATGGGATAACTGGATTTGGAGAATTCAATTATGTACCATCTTTCACAGACTTTATAGTGCTTTGGGCTAAGGCAGGGACAGTGCAACCATCTAACCTGACCTCTGCAATACTGCATGTTTCACCTGCGTGCCCTGTGTGCAATCTTTGCTCCAGGTCTTGTGCCTGTGATGAGGAAAGAAGTTTATACTGGATGTTTGTTTGCAAACAGTGGCTTTGAAACGTGATTTTCTTCCCTGTCTTAGGTAGTTATCCATCTGTTTGTGCTGTGGTGGCCACTTAGGACCATCATGGCATTGGGGTGCCCAGAGAGGTAAGCAGAATAGTGGTGTGGAGCAGACATGTCCCTCCTCTGACCCAGGCCAGTCCCAAGCAGCTGCTGTTTCACGTGCCTGCCTGTGTGCCTGATGTGCCTCTGTTTGGTCCCTGCCAGGTAGAAACCAGTGTTTGGGGGTGGGGGCACCACACTGGTGGTGTGTGAGAGGAGCTTTTCACTCCTGCCTGCGGCTGTGTCCTCCTCCTGGAGATGCAGGTCATTTCTGAGCAGTCACTGTCAGTCTTCCTGGTGCATCGGGTTCAGACTGAACAAATGGTGGGAGAGGAAAGCTTTGGGTATGACTTTCTTTTTTCATGTGATCAGATGAGTAACCTGAAACTGAATCTGCATGCACGAGAGATACAGGGTGACCAGCTTCTTTCAGCAGGGTGCATTCATGATTTCGAACTGTGCTTGAATGATTTTGGGTTTTCACCAAAGGAGAAAATCATGCTTACAGGCACCTGCTGGCTGCAGAGAAGATTTTAAATGCAGCAGAATGAGTGCAGTGTGTATTTGCTGCCAGCTGTGATGAGCGGTGGAGGTTACTTGGCCAGTGGTAGTTCTGTAGTTGGCCTAGTTATAGAAGTGGTGAGCATGGGAAGCTGCAGTAACGGATTTCACCTGCTGACCCCTCGCAACAGCTTCTGAACCATATTCAACATTGAATCCCTGTCTTTGAACCAGTGAACCTTTTCAGCTAAATGATTTCAGTAAAAAAAAGGAAAAAAAAATGTAACCAGGGAATGTATTTTTTTTTTAGTTTGGGAGAAGCGGCACCTGGTTGAGAAATGTTTGTTGTTGTATTTACAGGTGACAAGAAGTACATTATGGGACCAAACGTTTCCACTGTTGATGCCACTGTCTTTGGGCATCTGGCACAGGCAATGTGGACACTACCAGGGACTCGACCAGAGAGACTAATCAAAGGTAAGAAAGCTTCAGGGACCTCTGATGAAAAACTCTTGGTAGTATTTGCTGTGTTTAAACTTGGAGCACCTTGTAAGGACATGTGAAAACTGCAGCAGTGCCTCAACTGCAATCACAGGCTGTTCTTGCCTTTGATGTAGCATTTTGTATCCTGTAATGTTGTTTTATCTTAAAATTCCTGTTTGTTTGCTCTTTAATGTTCTACACAGTAATTGTTTCTATTCCTGTACTTGATCTTTTCCCTGTTTAACATAGTGAAGACTGAATACCTTTAAGGGATGAATGCTGGGTAAAGTATGAGAAGACAGAAGCACAGCTATGAGCCAAATTCTGCTGCACTGAGTAGTTTCATTGATGGTAGAACTACAAGTGCTATTGTCCCACTGAAATTACAACCTTTGCTGTTACTGAAGATGCTGGGCAAGGAAAAAGGCCAGCCTGACTTTGGAATCACTGTGGTTTTGCATGAATTGGAAACCAACATACTCCTCCCCTCCACACATTTTTTTTTTTCTCTTTTTTTCTTGTGAGTTGGTATAGGCACATGATGGTATCTTTGCATCCCTTTTCAGAGTAAAACCATGCGGTATAAAAAATGGGAAGAGCTAAGGAGGAAAAGGATGTGAAATAGGTGTAAAAGGAATTAATCTGACCTGTAGATCTACTCTGGCAAGAGAGCTACTAAAGCAACAATGAGGAGGCATAGACTTGCTCATTATTAAAACTTTGAGGAAAAAATACTTCAGATGAGGACATGAGTATTGTCTGTACAGTTCTTCCCCTTGAAGTCTGGGGAATCATGGATAAAATTCTGAAGGGCCTAGCTTTCAAGAAGGAATACTGTGTTTTTTGAACTAGTTTGTCTCTGGTGAAAATAGATGGTAATAGATGCAAATATGCAAGCAGTATGGATGATTCTCTGTACTCATCCATCTACTCATGCTATTGTGAGTACAGGTTTCACAAACACATTCCCTTTAATACGCTGTTATTTCTTTGTTCTTTGAAGTTTTTTGAAATTTCTACTCTAAGCATGCATGTATGTATAAACATAAAGCATAAGGTACTAAGGCTAGGAACATAGGGGTGAGCCAGTGACCATAGAAAAAATCTTTAAAATGTGAAATTATCTTGTAGACAACGCTGCCATCTGGTGGTGTAAAACCCAAATTCACTGTATTTTAATAAAGTATATTGTGTATATATAGGATCAGCTTCTGTCTTTAGAAACCAAGTTTCTGCAAAATAAGCAAGAATTTTACTATGAAAAACTTACAGTATTAGTATTTTGTCTTGATTTATTTCTGTAGAGGTTGAATTTGGGATAGTTATTTTGCTACATGCATTTATATTCCTTCCAGCGTAACCCTACTTTTTGTATGTAGGTTGATTATATGTGTTTCAAATTACATGTAAGTTAAAAATAGATCCGCTAAGAGGATTGATGGGGTCTTGGAATTTTGAAACCTCTTTGGAAAGAATCTCCACAGTTTGTTTCCAAACAGTGCTAATGTGTTTCTGCATCAGCAGGTGAGGTAGAGCATTATTGACGGGATGTATTTACTGGAGTCTGTTGTGCTGTGTTGCAGGTGAACTGATTAATCTTGCTATGTATTGTGAAAGAATAAGGAGGAAATTTTGGCCAGAATGGCACCATGATGATGATAACACTCTGTATGAATCCGAGGAAAGCAGCGAAGCAAGCAAGACTTACTCCCCTTTGCAGGACTTCAGTTTTTATTCAAGGACAGAAACATTTGATGAGGAAGGGAACAGTATTTCTCAAACACCTGACACAGATTACACTGGACACTCCCTCTTTGATTCGGATGTGGACATGGATGACTACAGAGATCATGAACAATGCAAGTGATGTGTACAAGCATCTCCCATTTTGCAGACAAGCTGCTTCTTGGGATCAGTCTGATTTATTTTCTCCTCCAGGGCAGGAAGAGGTTTATACCACTTCGGAAGAGACCATTGTGCTTGACTTGGCTGTCATATGCTACGTGGACTATTTCAACCTTATTTCATTTTGTGTAACTGTTCAGGTGGAACCAAGGTAAACAGTTATTTAAAACACATATGGGCACACTTGAGGTCCAGAGGGCAACAGGATCTTTCAATCTATATTTTTGTTCACATTCAAAACCAGGTTGGACAGACCTCCGGGAAGTGGGGCATTTGCCAGAGCTGGTTTGTGCTGATATTTTATCTTTACAGGAATGGGTTGAGGACAAAAATGGAAGAGGCATGACTGGCACACCTTTCTCCCATGGAAGAAAATGATCGATGTATTGATTTGGCATCAATACAGTTTTGACTTGGTGATTTTATTTGATAGCTACCTGCACTCTGGGTGCATATATTATTACAGTGTCTGCAGGAAAGAACTGCTCCTAGTTCTTTCGAGATGGTCAAGGAAGGCAGGAGGAAAGCATATTCCTACAGAAAGGAGCTTTTTAGTGTTTCTTGTTCTTTGCAGAAGATTGAAATTGCTACTCTAGAACATTTTTATTCAGAAGGGAAATGTCAATTTTAATGTATAATCTCCGAGACGCTCATTTGGAATGTGTGTTGGCCAAAGCCTGCCTCAGGCATCTAAATTTCTTCTGTGTTTTTGAATTATTATTATGTTTTTACTTCCTGCTGCTGGCTGTTGTCTGCTATTGCTAGGCAAGGCTAAAGAATTGGGGTTTGTTACTAAAAGTCTGGTGCGTCTCGGCAGTGGGTGCTTTGCGCTCTTTACCAACAGACGCATCAAACCCATGAAGCTTGCAAAGCAATTTGGAGTATTTCTAGGTATGGGATGCTGTGTAAATGCAAGATGTTGGCCTCCCCAATCAGACGCTGTAGAGCTGCCGAGGAGGTTGCTTCAGTGGGAGCTGGGTGCTGTGCTGGGTTACAGGGCATGATCCCTAAAGCCGGTGCATGGGAGGCAGCTGAGACAGGACAGGTGAGTCAGCACTGCCGTCTGGGGATTTCCAGGTGCTGAAAGAGCAACCAGAAGTGATTTCAAGGTGCCTTTGCTAGCACATCCATGAATCTGGAACCCCAAATCCAGAATGATTGCACGGTTGCTGACATGCTTCATGTTCATATCTCCCTAAATGCAGGTTAGAGGGGAGAATGAATCCAATGGATTTACCAGTTTGAAGGTAAGCCTGGACATCAGTGTTGCTTGGCCATAACTAGTTGGTTTTAAGTAGAGATAAAATATATGACATATTCAGCTGCGGTATTTGTGAACATGCATATAAGATTGGGTATTTGCCTGCAGACTTTGATGGTGGCCCATTTAAAAATATTTTAATTATGACTTTCTCAGAGTTACAGTTAGATGAATCAAGATCCCTCAGCAAAATTTTTATAATGTGTTGGCTGTGCCATATGTTCTGGGAGCAGGCAGAGCAGACAACTGCTTTAGGATATTAATTGTTGGTAATCTGAATAGTCTGGAGTTTGAAATAACTCCAGCTTTCAAAGAATACCTCTCTTTCTCGGATTGTGGACTGTCTTCTGCAGAGGAAAGCATTTACTCCGGGGAAACACTGAGCCAGCCATGGCTCTGAAAGTGGGGACACACATGTCTGTAGTGAGTTCCCAGCTCTCTTCATGCATGGGAGCCACTGCAGCAAGACCTGACAAGTTTAGTGTGGTCTGAGATGGGTGTGAATTTGTACCTGTTTCCTCAATTCCCCAGGCATGTCCTGGGAGCTGTGTTCCAGTTCAATGGTCTCTGTTGTGGGCAAGTACCATTTGCAAAGTGAATCAAAACTGAGAAGGAGGAAGACAACCAGTTATTTGGGACCCTTCTCAGGAAACCAAGCCCAGGAATAGGGCACAGGAAGATAAGTCTTGAAAGCACAGAAATGATGGCCTGAGATGCCTGTGAATCTCCATAGCTGAGTTAGGGCAGATGCTACCTGCAAAGATGTAGGTATTGGTATTCTGGATAAAAGGCATCTATGTCAAAAAGCTCCTCTTTAAAAACATTTATGTGTTTGAAATTCTGATGGAGATGTTCATTTACCCATGTTTGAAGGCTGTGCTTTCTCCATCTTTTCAATGTTGGGAGGGTGTGCTTGTAGGTATGGAGGCTCCTGCTGGCAGCGGGTGAGTCCCAGCTGTGAGTCCCAGTTATTAAAAGACCAGCCTGAATTCAGCAGACACTGTCACCTTTATCATTTTGGTGGGCTGACAGATCTGTCCGTGACAGCAGTCCATGTGACGTTCCGAAACACAGGTTAACCAGAAGTTGATGATGTCATTTTACTCTCCTGTGTGAGTGCAGCCAGATTTGGATTTTGCATGGCTGGGTGCAAGAGACAGGAGACACCAGTGCAGCACAGAGCTGGTGTTGTGCCACGGCCCCATTCTCCGCCAGCACCTGGAGTAGCTGGCACGGCGGGCAGAGCCCGGGGTGACCGAAAAAAAACGGGTACCTGTGCCAAGGATGTACATGCCATGGGGGGCCATGGTTACATTCACACCCAGCGTTTTTTGCTTTTGTTGTGAATAATCAGCATGGCTCAGTGGAGCCTGAACCTCACCCTGACCGGCCAGGTAACCGGCTTCATCCCTGGGAAGGGTGAAGAAGAAAGGATGGGAAGGGGTTGCAGAAGGGGAGGTGGCTTTTTACTGTCGGCTGGGGTTTTCCAGGGTGTCAATCAGTGAGGTGAATGTATTTTGCAGCTCGTCACACGCCTTCCTTTTCTGAGGGACTGCTCAGGTTACTTTAGAGAATTTAGTTGGGAGAAGTTAGTTGGCTTTCTCCTTGTGACAACTACTCTTGATAAAGTCTACATTTCTGTGTTTGGCCGTGTTTGAAACTATAGAGGTGAAATTAGGAAATGGCATATCTTTAGGAATTTATAGGTGTAGTGTTTTGTCCAGGTTTCGTAGGAAATCCTTGGGTTTAATTATCCCTTCCAGAAACAAATACTGACTGTTAGACTTGTTTAAAAGGATTTAATCCAAACTTTTCTTTTGGAAGCTGGTCTTAATAAAGAGTTCCTGGGGGCAGGTAAGATGTTTTTTAAAAAAATTGCTTTTTAAATATCTGTGAAAAAATGTTAATTCATTTTGGTTTGCATGGGGAAAGAGAAGATGAGTTTTCTTCAAACAAACCCTCAAAACAACAACAACAACAAAAAAACCCAGAACAAATTTTGTTGACTTTCCAGAATTCTGCTAAAAGAGCAACATTTTCTTAGTCCTGCAGTGTTTTGTGGTTTTGTTTTTGTTTTCTCCTCGATCGTCTCTATTTTTTTATCTTAGTGCTGAGGGGCTATACAGAGCTAAAAATAGTTGGAGAACATATTTTTTAATTTTCCTCTCTTTGTTTTTTCCTCTCTTCGTTTTTTCCTCTCTACCTCACTGATCAAAATTGCAAGCAAGTCTGTCGTAGGGATGCCAGAGGTCCTGGCTGTGCTGCTGATGGGGGTCAGGGACATCAGGTGAAACCTGGGACAGCCGTGGGGTGCTGACTGCCTGGTGGGTGAGCTGGGATGGCCTCTTCAAGCTGGAGCTGGGAGGTGGATTGCCACGATGTCATGCCTGAGGTGACACAGACCACATAAGACTTTTCGCTGGCTGGGGATTCCACCACCAGGGCTAGGCACTCATTGTGGGGTGACATTAGGAAGGGTTCAGGGACCCCCATCACAAGAGTCCTGTGTCCGTGCGGTCTCTGAGAACATCACAGCTGCTAGCACCAAACGTGGTTGTGGTCCCAGCCGCAGCTCCAGGCTGTTTTCGGGTAGATGGTGGTACACGGTCCTGGCAGGAGGAAAGCTAGCTTGGGGCTCCTCCACACTGTCTGTCCCCTCCTAAAATACGACAGGGGGCCCTTGGATGGTCAGGGAGGAGGCAGCGGGTGGGATGCGGGGAGGGTGCTGAGTGGCAGGTCGTCGCAGGAGGACAAGGGCTGAACCTGCGGCCTGGCCAACGTCGTTCCATCAGCCGGGCAGGAGCCCTGCCCTGCTCATGGGCTGGAGTGCAGCCCCTCATCCCAGTGAGGAGACAGTGCGATTCCTCCTGGTTACTTTACCTTAAATACCGCCAAAGGCTGAGTACTTTGTTTCCATATTCTACTTTAAGAGAATGGGTAATTGGTCTGCTCCTCATTTGGCAAATGGGAGTTTAAAGCAAGCCCTGCTTGAAGCAGTCTGTTGTTTTCTTATGTGAATTGCAGTGTTTGACTTCATAACACTCTGTCATGTCAGAAGGGATTTGTTTACCCCTGTCGGACTCATTGGCTCTGTCAGTAGAGCTCACTGTTACTGAGTGGGGGAAACAGATGCTGGGATGTATAGGTCCTACAGAAATACTACAAATGTGGTGCTTGATTTAAAAACCAAACCAAACGCGATGTTTCAGATCTGGAGGACTGTTCCCATCCAATTATAACACTGCAAGTCACGTGTTTTGATCTTTAAAACCTTGGCAGTGTCCCTCCAGATCTATATTCTCTTTGAAAAAATATTGCCTGAAATATTTCTGCAGTAACAGTTCAGGCACAAATTTCTTTTTGTCAGTGATGTCTGCTCAAGTAATCATGACAGTTTCATACTGTTTTCATTGAAAGGGCTGTATCTGTCAGATACTAAGCCTTACAAAATACTGCCTGCTGGAAAAGTGTGTTATGTGCAGATTTATGCAGGGCAGCTCACCAAGTGAAATTTCTGTGGCAGAGGATGAATTCAAGCGGGTCTTGTCCTTAGATGTTTGAATAAGAATTTGAATCTGTTTTCTGACAAGTAGCTATTTAGTCTAGGCCCCCCCATCCCCTAATACTGCAAAATTAGGCATGTGATCGAAATAAAGCAAATTATCTTCTCTAAATGCAGAATTACGTTGGGCAACCCAGCA